TGCAAAAATTTCTCTGCTGGACCCTTTGGAGACAACAGCATGATCTTTAGAGAACATGCTTGATAGCCTGACCTTGTCTAAGGCACTCACAGAGATGAGATTGCCTGTCAATGATAGTGAGTGCAATACATTCTTGAAGGTTAGCTTGATATCCTTTCCATCAAGCCTGAACATCTTTATTGCATTCTCTTGGCCAAGTATCTCACAGGTCTCTTTCTCTTCAACAGCAGATAAATCCATGTGGAACACCAGTGTATATTCAATGAAGTCTTCATGGTTGCAAAAGAAGTAATCACTAGTGCCAGACTCCATGAAGATCAACAATACAGATGGGATACATCCTTCAAATGTGATGGTCACAAAGGCTGTTCCAGCAGAGTCTGCTTGACAGATAAACTGCTCTATCTCTTTGGCTTCATCCCTGTCCTTTTCAGAGTCAACCTGCTTCAGGGGTGCCATCTCATCATCTGTTTCATCCTCCACTTCATCCTGCACATTGAAACTACTATATTTGGTGTCTCTTAGTAAGTACAGTAGTAGACTATTTAAGTATCACATTGTAAGAGTAGTAGGCAAGTTTCTGACACCCCACACTTGCAGTGTATTGGGCATGAAGGCTTTGCACTCCAGCTCTGGGTTTGTGTTTGTAACTTTGGGCAAGAGAATAAACCCACTGTTGATATCATTAAGAGAGATCTGAAAACTGTGTGAGGCATTGAAGCTTGCACAGGACTCTAATTTGATTTGATAAGAGGTTTTGAATTGTGCTCTAGTCTGAGAATAAGATAGCAGTGTCTGAAGGGCACTCTTTTGAGTTTTTGAGATGTTTGTGATGTGAGGCACTACAGATGGCAGAGGTTCAAACCATTTGAGTCTGTCAGATGGGGTTTTATTGCATTTTTGTGTCTCTGGATCACATAGGTTTGAATACTGTAGGTCTATGATCAGTTTAGAAACTTGTGCACAGAGGTTTCAACCCTTTGGCACTTGTGGACTTGTTTATAAAGTTTTTCTGCTTAGAGTGTGAAGCTTTGAGTCATGTAGTGTGTGTTTAATGATTGAGAATTGATCTGAGCTGTGCTTGGGACCTTTGAAAGTTTTGTGGCATTGTTTCAATGTATTGTATTGGCCTGGTGGTGAAAAGGAGGATCAATTTCCCTCTAATTTCAGCTGACTTCAATGTGCAAACCAAGCCACCATGACTAATATTGCTGATACACCAGGAACTTTGTTCTTGCTGCATGTTGATGAGGTTTTGTGTGCATGCAAGGTGAGAATGGATACAGCAGAGTGTTATCTACTGATTACACCTATACCAACACACACATAATACTTCTTAGTTCATTGCAGGGATTATAATGCAATAGAATAGCTATAGCAAGTACAATTCTCTTCTCAAATGATTCCACTGCACATGAATAGCAATAGTGCAGGTATAACTGTCTCTGATCTCTCTAAGCCTTAAAGACTTTTGTTTATAAAAACAAGAGGCAGCAATGAATGTTGCTGGGCCTCAAGGCAAAAGAGTACTGTAGCTCAATACAATACATTGAAACAATGCCACAAAACTTTCAAAGGTCCCAAGCACAGCTCAGATCAATTCTCAATCATTAAACACACACTACATGACTCAAAGCTTCACACTCTAAGCAGAAAAACTTTATAAACAAGTCCACAAGTGCCAAAGGGTTGAAACCTCTGTGCACAAGTTTCTAAACTGATCATAGACCTACAGTATTCAAACCTATGTGATCCAGAGACACAAAAATGCAATAAAACCCCATCTGACAGACTCAAATGGTTTGAACCTCTGCCATCTGTAGTGCCTCACATCACAAACATCTCAAAAACTCAAAAGAGTGCCCTTCAGACACTGCTATCTTATTCTCAGACTAGAGCACAATTCAAAACCTCTTATCAAATCAAATTAGAGTCCTGTGCAAGCTTCAATGCCTCACACAGTTTTCAGATCTCTCTTAATGATATCAACAGTGGGTTTATTCTCTTGCCCAAAGTTACAAACACAAACCCAGAGCTGGAGTGCAAAGCCTTCATGCCCAATACACTGCAAGTGTGGGGTGTCAGAAACTTGCCTACTACTCTTACAATGTGATACTTAAATAGTCTACTACTGTACTTACTAAGAGACACCAAATATAGTAGTTTCAAAACATGGAACTCTGTCCCAGAGTCTCTTGCATATCATTCACATGTATGTCACAGTCTGACATGCATATTCTGCTCCAGATCAGGACTGCCTTCTGTTTCTATGCAACCTGATACTTGTCAGCTCTGTTACTGTCCTAGACACAGGTCTCTTTGCTTTATTATCTCTCTAGGGCAATTAATCCATGCACAGGAGTCATTCCAGACTCCTGAGATCATTTCAGGTCATTCTTTCACCAGATCTTCTCATTTTGCAGCCAATCACTCTGATATTCAGGTTTATCTCATTGTGCACCAATGCTCTGTTCTAGAACATGTCCCTCAGCAATTTAATGCCTATGCATCATTGATCAATGTGATGCAAAGTCATGTGCAAAGCTCTAATTGTATTTTGATCATGTGCTCTTATTTTTAGCAGATCCTTCTATACTTGTATTAGTGCAATTAGTGTCAAGTGCTGGAACCTCATGCACAGTATGTCCCCCTCTGGTATCATCTTACTCCTAGGCCATGCCCTCCATCTATTGTCACTCAAGCCAGCTGTCATACAAGTCCCATTTCACTGCACTCCAGCCATATTCTTTATTGTGTGCATAGTAGACTGTGATACAGTCAATGTACTGCCATTCTTCGCAAAATTACATGCCTAAGCATGCAGCAGGTGCACCAGTGCTGCATATTCTTCTTGACTGAGTTATAGGCAATGGGTCCACATAATCTATTAACAGAAGACTATGAGTGAGGATCTAAGAACAAATATGAGTAATATAGTAGTAACACAGTAATAGTATACATACCTCAGGAAGGCACAGTGTAGGTGAAATGACTGAGGTATCCAGATATCTATGGCCAGTCTATATAGGTGATTGAGTAAGGACAGGAGTAATGTATATATGATAAGTAAAAAGGGGATGATTGAAAGGTAAGATAAGGGTATAACATAAAGATATCCTCCAGCAGAAAGCTTAGTCTTTATATCCAAAAAAATTGAGCTTGGTACCTACTCATACTTGTTCTGGAATGCAATTAAACAGTGATGGAACACATGTCTCATTTGGCCGATTGTCGCCTGAAATTGTTTTGGCTCTTCTTGCGTTCATCAGTTCTTTTCATAGCTGCCTATAGAAGGCGTCTTTTTGCCGCGATAAAATTATCCGTAACGTTATTTTCATCAACCGTACATGATATCGAGTATAGATTTGACCTGATCGGCATGGGCCTCGGCTGATGTACGACGGTCTCAAGACGCGACATGGCCGTGAAAGTCAAGAAAAATAGAGAATATCTATGGGACAACGAAAGAAGATGCGTGCCTGCAGTCCATTCCACACAGACCGAATAAAACAGAAACCGCACGGGAAAGAAGCGCCAATTGATATGCGTAACTCGCTTGCTGTTAAATTGATTACGGCATGACAGAGAAACGACACGTTCGTCACCAAGGATACCACTAGTAATATCGGCGAAACATATGTTAAGGGTTTGATAACCGTCTTGTCAACAGAGAACTGCTTTCAGAGACGGATTGAAGGTGTGCGAATCCATGAGAACTGCAGATGAATATCAATAATGACTCGAGTAATGATTCGAATGGGCTGCGTCTTCCGTGAGCTACTCTATAAACAAGCAATATACACACGTACAATCCATAAATTTAGGATCTCCTGACTAGTGTCGATGTACTAGATCGTCATCTTCTCGTTGGGTACGATGGGCCGTACCGCTTCGAGTGTTACGTAGAAGAGGCTGAAAGAAGTTCAGCTGGGACTGGGACCATTGGTCGGTCAGATGCCTGCCGTGCGCCATAACAACCCGGACCACATGGATGGCTGGATGAAGCTGTTGCTGATGGCTTCATCCTTCGTGATAGGAGGCAGTTCCCGAGCAGTGATTGCTTTCCCTGGGTGTTATATTCGTCGTCGAACGTCTGTTTAATACAAAAAAAGGCATGCAACTTTTCATCTCTTTCTTTCTCTCCCAATATCCGCTCTCGGAAATGTCCTGCGCACCTGGATCATTGACGGCTTTACCACAGGTGAAGAGCGTATTATAGCCTGGAGTTACTGCTCGATGGTGGCCGTGGGAATCGTCGGGAACATCCGCTTGCTGTACCCTTTTCTTACCATTCACCACACGTGCTCAGTCTTACGATCTTTTGTTTTTGCTTCCTTTCTAAAACGCTAGTCAAACGGGCTCCTCAATGACACATCGTGCGTATATATCTTGTAATCGCCTGATCTCTGGTAACAGGCGGCAACCTTTCGTGTTCCCGCCTGTTGCGTCTTTGTTTGGCCCAGACTTTGTGCCGTCTCGTGAGTTTCCCAAATGTATCCTCTCTTAGAACATTCTGTCTTCGTTCCATTGACTTTTGCTCACGAGGCATAACCGGCTACATTGTCTTTGTAACGAACAAGAGCTACTCTGCCTGAACGGCCTTGGTTTGAACTTAGAAAACGTTTATACCGAAGAATACCAGTATATACAGCCTCTGAGGCTGATGCTTTGTATTGAAGGAATCATAGGGATACGTGTCGAGGTATTGGCCACTAGAATAATTCTCTCCAGCACTATTCGGTTCCTTACTCTCCTCCTTCGAGTCGAATCTGATACGCCTCGGGTATTCTCACCATCTCTTGAGCTACATGAAAGGTTCGAATGCCCTTTGTTCAAGGGATCAAAGATTCCCAAAAAAGCATCGTTGGCATGGTCAGAGCGGCGTCCATTGAAAACCAATTAGTTATATCATTTGCGCGCGATGGATTACCATAGTGCCCAACTGTCGAGATTTATATAATCTATGCGACATGAGTCGGTTGTATGTTCCCCTAAAGAAGATGCTCACACCACCTCTCCTCGCTCTCCTAATCTGTTCTCTTCTTTCATTGTTTGCGGCATCTCAGACCTGTACAATTCCTAGCCATCTCCCGGAGACGACAGGGAAGGTCAACATTGGTGGAAGCAGCCTCATACATGCGCCAAAGAATGCCGTTTGGAATACGGTACTCAACTTCTCATCATATCCGGACTGGAACCCCTTCGTTCGGTCAGTCTATCAACAAAGTCATCACCCACCCCTCTCTAAATCTCATGATTCATAGCTCTCAAATCGTAGCGGACGAATTCGCTATACCACTTGACAACCAAACCGCTTTCGTAGGGGCCAAAATCATCATAACGAGCCAGATCCCTCCCCTCCCGCAGGCAGTGGACGCTTCCACCCCACCGGATATACTGACGCAGCACATCACTATCGAAGAAATTACAGTGATTGATGCCGAGAACTACCGAGTGGCGTGGATTCTCGTCTCTCCTCAACAGATATTGAGTACGATTCGGTGGAGTGCTGTGAGCACGGTGATCGACAAGGATGGAGTAGAGAAGTCGTATTACGAGTCGAGGGAGACATTCGACGGGCCGCTGGCAAGCATAGTGAAGGACTTGCTCGGAACTGATATAGCCGAGTCTTTTCAAGCGCAGGCGGATGCGTTAAAGGTGTGGATGGAAGCATAAGTACCACTCGTTGAAACGATGTACTGCAAGCATGTGATTTCTGTGCACAATATGATGTAGACGATTATCGGATCACAAATTGAGTCTTCCTTTGTACTAGAATTATCGGGAGAATGGCTTACGAATGTCGCACCACTGATGCGCAGAAATGTGCATTGAGATTACCACGCCTTTGTCCGTAATCGGCTTGGAGATCAATAGTCAACCAACCCTGAGGGTTAAGGCTGTCTATAGCAATCAAGCAACTGCAATTGTCTTCTTCATAGAAGCAAGCACCTGCCCGCCTGGTATCTTACTTTACTCAATTTGAGATTAAAGCCAAAACAGTAACCTGACCAGGTAAGTCGTACTGTCCTTCACGAAAAAATAGAATGTCCTGACTAGTAATGATGCGGTCAGAAACCCATCGCAAGTGTGGGATTTTATTTCCCGGAATTTCTCGGGGTAAGGTCAACACTAATCCATTGTCTGCAAAGTATCTCATCGCCCTCTCTTCCATCAGCGTCCTGGTAAATCCCAGGCAGCGCACCTATAGGCGCCTCCTCCGCAAACACAGGTAAGCACAACACAGCATTACAATTACACGTACAGTCGGGTTCAATTCTCTCGCAGTTTTAGTCTCCGGCTACTACAAGTGTGAGAGGACATGCTCCTACAACAGGGTAATGGATGTAGAAATGGGAGTTCCGCAGATCATACTGATTCTTAGGTGAGCTTATCATTGGTTCTGGATATAGTAACGTTGTTGGAATTACGGTCGCTATAAGCGGTGCACATATCCCTGTGATTTGAAAACTTAAAATTTAAACCACTATCTGTTACAATGAACTCTCGTCTGACTCGTGATCGAGAAGTCTTTACAGTAAGTCGTAAATTTTAGGTACTAATAGAATCGTAATACAGCAATCCTAACTACAGCATTCAGCGAACCATGTTATATTAAGTAATAACGATACAAAAATCCTCCATTCTACCCACGAATAGTAACGAAGCGCCAGCCTCAAAGAGGAACCGATTCACTTCGCCGCCCTCCCTACTAGGACCAATTTATCCACCATCCGGATAACTACCATGACCGAGCCAAGCAACGCATTAGTTGTCTCATTATGATTGTGTTGAAACGGAATGAGCGACTGGCCTGTGATTGAAAGTACAACACAGCGAAAAGAATAGTTGACTTCAGTTCTTCTGTTCAACTTGCGAAGGTACATACATCATCATCTATCCATATTGGCTTTTCGAAATGAGCCTTCGGTTTATACTTTTTTTTGGTAGACATGCTCATAGAATGCCTCCATGGACATACGAACAATGCGATGGACCTTGACTCTGGATCGCATCGGAATCTTTCGAGGTCCGAATTTCGCCCTAGAAATTCATTTTTCAGTCAGAATGGTAGGCGATAAAATCCCTGAACATACCCAAACCAGGACACCCACTCCTCATTCTCCTTCTGCTGTCGGAATGCCATTGGAATGATCTCAAGAATCCACCATGATTTCGAACATTTGAGCTGATCGTATATGACCGACAATGCATCCTGAAGTTCTTCCTGTTCTTTGGTCCCAATTGTTTGTGGTAAGTTGATAACTCTTGCTTACCTTGGTAGTATCATGGTATTCACCTGCTGCAGGATTTGGGTTCGAGTCCCGATCAGAAGTTCCAAGATCGTCAGAGAATTATCCTATTTTTCCCGGTTATTCTCAACCATATGGGCTAGAAAATTGAGCGGAGAACGGATGTCCTGCATTATCGTCACCCTGGATGATGGTCACGTTCCAACCAGCCACGAGGATTCTGACGTACACGGTTTTCTTGTGCTCGTCTGCCTGGTCTTTAAGTGGGGACATAGATCGTCAATGTCTTGAACTGAAGTTTTACAATTATCCGGTGGCAGTAAACGTACTTTGTGAGTCATCCCGGTGAGAAACTGGCCATGGCATCAAAAACCTGGTCTGTGACACGAAACAGTGATCGATGCTCCATACCTCCGGGCAGTGTACGCCCCACCTGAGAAACCAAAGATGCATATGTGATTCATCAGTATGATCTACGATGTTATTGGTACCAACTCGATGCTAAAGACGAACAGGGACGTACAGTTTTGCATCAAGAATTGATAACTATCTAGCATGAAGGCATTAAGATAATGTCACGTTAAGTACAATGACAGAGATCGGCGTAGCCCTGACACCGCGCATCCACATGGACAACCTCAAAAGGAATCTGATGTGATGAATACACAACATCCATCAATGCATTCTCGATACACATGAGGCGTTGAATGTGGGTAGTGGACTGCAATACGAGTCGATTTCAGCATGGGAAGGCCCAGAAATGGAAAAGTAACTAACATCAGATACGGAAACCTTCAACATGGCACCACGTCTCTGAACCAAAATAACATTTCTTGAAGCAGGTCGATATAAACGGTCATCATTTCGTGTGGTCGCTGTAATCGGTACCCGTTTGGTACTGATATGAAGAATCACCCGCCTTCGACGACGCACAATCATTTCCTATCGGGTCCGAGGCTGCATTAAGACGCATACGATCTCATTCAGCGATCTTGCCACCAGTGTACCCATACACAATGGCAGCCGCTATCCAAAAGAGTTCAAGACGGTGCAAAAAAAGTCCGGAGCATTTAACTGAGTTATGGGTTTTGAAAAGAGGGAAGGAGGCTATTCAGATTGTATGCGAAATGACCTGACGCGTCCGAGGAGCGGAACGGGTTTTGCATCGCTATCAGCCTATCAGACCTAAACTCTGAAGAAGCACACTAGATTCCAGTGGATCAAAGATAGATTGGAGTAATCAAAGAGCGAACCTACATGCTGGAGTAAATTATGAACAGGTATACATCAGTAACTTCAGTCCGTGAAAGCAACAGCTGTACTCCTGTACAATGACTCAGGCAAAGGTTGAGTTGTGGAAAATACATGTCAGAGTCATTTACCATGACCTTAGCAAAAGGTTTCTGCCCCATGGTCTATGTCCTTTCCAAATCTAACACATTTTTGGCCACTGAAGACAACCTACTTACTGATGGTTCACTGGTCAACAGAAATATCCTAATTCCTGAATCTAATATACCAAGACATGAGTAGCTGAAAATGGAGTGTATGACACAATGTACCAAGCAGAAACAAGTTCAGATAAGCAATTGTAATATTGCCATTGGTGTACTATATGACCACAGAAAAGCACTCATTGGCCTTGCACTGTATCACTGCAATGGCCACAATATAGAACACTTTATGATGACAATGATGGCAGCAAGTAGATGGTAAGAAAGCAGGAAAATTGTTGCATGCATATTATGTCATGCTGATGTGACTCTAGCTCAGATGGATATGAAGCTTCTGCCATCTGCCTGGGCATTGGAATCCCCACAAATCAAATTGGTGCAAATACACAGTGAAAACTATTGTTTATGACTGAAACCCTCTTCAATTTCTTTTGCATTGCCCTTGATAAATTCCTCAAGGTATGCTATTCTATGAACCAGACTTGATATGTATAATGATCTGGAATACAGGACTAACTAACCTGAATACCAGATATAGCTTTTATGTAGTCTGAGAAATAAGCCTTCTTCAGTGGCTAAGCACATACAAGGGATGTATCTGAAAATCACAAGAGCTTACCATTCTCAGATCTGCCTGGAGAAACCATGCCATCCCTGCACCATGGCTCCCACATCTTCTAGGTTAATTGTAACCTCAATTGTACAAGATCAGGGCAACAACAATTGGCTTATATAAAGAGTTACTAGAAAACAAGAGAACACTAAATAAGTGGTGGGTGAGACATGGGTTTCTTGATGCTCAACAGCAGTGCCTTCCTGAGCCATCTTCTTATGGTGGGATGAAGACTCATGTTGAAGTTGAGGTAGACTTTCAATTGAACATGAAGCAAAAATAGTGCCTCTAATGAAAGACAGAATAGAAAATGTTTGGCAAAGAATGGATTGTTGAAGAGTCCATAAAACTGGGTGTACTCAGAAATACAATCACTGAATACTTGGTAAGAAACTTTAGTCTGGCATATTTTGTTTATCTGTTTGGAAGAACATATCTGCATTGTCAAAGAGCTCTGAGAACAACAAGACTCACTCACATCAATTTAGTCACTGCACCAAGGAATATTGATTCCTCTTCAATGCCAATTATGACCTTCATTATATGGAGCACTAACTGATGACAATGTGTTATGATTTTTCCTTTTTTCTTTCTCAATTAACCCCTATTTATGCTTAGTCAGAGCATCTAAACCAGCACTTAGAATCATGGGACAGGCTTAGCCACCATAATAGGCCAAGTCTGCTATTGTTCTCCAATGATGATGAGACCCCTTGATGATGGACAATACTCTTTTGTAGGTAGTCATAATGCTCAAAGACAATGAGCACCATAACCTAGAGACACACAATTAGTAGGAATATATTTATCTTATGGACAAACAGTATATAAGTAGTGTAGCTCTTGCTGTATACCTCCAGCTTTGAGCTAAAGTTTATCTTCACCATTCTATCTCAAGTCAACTTGTATTGGCCTTAAGATATAATGACTGCTATACATATATAGTGGACTCAGGCATGACTGTATGAACTCAATACAGCACTTGTTTATCATGTGTTATTGGTCATGTGTCACTTGGGCTTAACACAATAGAGAATCATCAGGCTACAAGAGAAATATCAATAAAATAGTGGAAAATATATACATTTCTGTGACTCACCTGAAATCTTGAAGAGCTCTGCAACCAAACCCTATACCTCTGGAATAGCCAGGGACATGCCATCAAAGTATTCATGAATGTAATTTTGCAAAATCTGAGAATACATTAAGTGTATTCCAGTCTATGATGTGTGCAAAGGCTGCTATGACTTGTGCACAAAGGCTATTATGACTAGTACAAAATGAAATGAGACTCAGCAGTATACCTGGCTTGAGTGATAATTGGTGGAGTGTATGACTTAGTAGCAGAGTGATACCAGTGTGGTCCTACTGTGCATGAAGTTCCAGCACTTAGCACTGAATGCACTGATGTCAGCATGGAGATGCACACTAAAAATAGAAAGAACATGATTAGGATGATGATCAGAGCTAAGATCAGCACTTTGTGCCATAGTGATCAATGATGCATAGATATGTGGCAAACTAAAGACACACTCTGGACCAGAGATATGATGCATAGTAATATAAACCCAAATATTGTGACAATCAGCTGAAAGATATAAGGCTAAACCAAAATAGTGGTCAGGAGAGATAATTCTGGCAGTTTAAAACAGTTCTCACACAGGTGCTAGTTATGAAGCAAGCAGACAGACTAGCTGAGCTAGCTGGTGTCAGATCACTTGGAAACAGTGGGCCTAGTCCTGAGTCAGAGCAGAACATGTGCATAGTTTCAAGTGGAAATGAATACCATGGGATTCTGAGTAGGAGTTCTGCCTATTAATAATACTATATTAGATTGTATTAAAGTATGTGGATGTAGAATAGTTAAATACCATGATATAACAAGTAGTATACAAGTTTCTCACCTCACTAGTGTGGTGTAAAAGCATGAAAGTCTTGCACTCCAGCTTCTGAGACTAGTTTGTAACTTTAGGTGAGAGAATAGATCAGATATTGATATCATCATGAGTGATTTGAGTATTGCACAAGATGTCAAAAGCTCCTGCAAGACTCTAGTCTGATTAAATAAATGGTTTTAAATTGTGCTTTAGCCTGAGAATAAGAGAGTAATGTCTGGAGGGCACTCTTTTGAGTTTTTGAGGTATTTGTGATGTGAGGCACTACAGATGGCAGAGGTTTGAATCCTTTGGCTTGATTAGTACTCACTTCTTGGTTATTTCCACAGATTGGTAGAGGTTGAAATCTTTTGAATATGTGGATGGGGGTTTTATTGTGTTTTGTGTCTCTGGATTGAATAGATTTAAACTCTGTGGGTCTATAATTGGTTTGGAAGCTTGAGCATGTAGGTTCAAACCCTGTGGCTCTTATGGAAATATTTCTGAAGTGTTTCTGCTTAGAGCACAAAGCTTTAAGTCATATTTTGTAGGTATTAAAGTTTTTGAGTTTGGTCTAAGCAGTTCTTGGGACTTTTTGAGGGTTTTGTGAGAGTGTTTTGAAGTATTGCATTGTGAAACAGTACTATTGCCTTGAGGCCCAGTGACACTTGTCACCTCTCTTGTTACATAAAAGCTTTGAGACTTAGAGAGATCTCAATTGTATATATGCACTATTGCTATTTGCATATAGTGCATTCTTGAAGATATGATTGCTACTCTTATCTGTTATGATTTTTCCTTTCTTTTCCTAGTTTTACCCCTATTTATGCTTAGTCAGAATGCACAAGGATGTGGAAAGGCTTAGTCATCACAATTAGCCTGCCCATCATTTAACATAAACAATGATGCTCGATGATGCACAGACAACCTTTTATGTGTGGTAATGATGCTCAAGGACAATGGGCACAATAGATACAGGCAGACACAATTAGTAGTAGTATTATTAGCATCATCTGTACAGTATTTAAGACCCACAGCTCTCGCTGGTATACCCCAGCTTTGAGCTAAAGTTTATATTCACCATTCTACCTCGAGTCTATATCTGACCTTGAGTCCCACCGATCCAGATATGCAATAAAGTGAACTCAGATGATCCCTCGAAGTGTGAAGGGATGCTTGTTTATCACATGTATCTAGTCATGAGATGCTTGGGTCTAACAATTAGCTTGAAGCTTCATCTTCCCTTTCTCAAGCCCAATTGTGCTGAGAAACCGAATGCCCCCTATAACCTCTACCAACCCAAATTTTGAACACAAGTTCTTCAAACTCCTTTCCTCCATCATCGGAACACTGATAGGACTTTTGGTGATCATCCAGCTGTGCTGGGGATGCCATTCTATCACTGCCTGGACCCTAAGACATTACAATGAGTTCCTATGCATTCATGAAATCCTATGAAATGTAACCCCCAATCTCCCCCTACATGACATCCCTGAATCCAGACGAATGACCTACCAGCCTCCAGAAGCCGGGTCTAGCAGCATGCATCAGAGGGATGGTGAAGAAGAAGAGGGAGGACAACATTCCCTCTGACTCAGAAACACAGATGCTAGCATCCCAAGAAGGCATGGTATACTCATACCAGGACCACCCCTCAACCACGAAGACAAGGACATCCTGGAAGACTTCTTCCATCAGTCCCCCTCCCCCAATTCCGCCCCCCCAACCCCTGGGATTGCTAACTATGCCAGGGACT